GTTTCTATTTTAGCATTAAGTGGGTGTGGCCTCCATTTGTGTATTGATTAAGTAGGTGTACTTTTGATCACTACGTTGATTTAAGTGGGTGTGGCTTCTATTTGAATATTTATTAAGTGGGTGTGGCTTCTATTTGAGTATTGCTTAAGTGGTTTACTTTTGATCAGTAGGTTAAGTTAAGTGGGTGTGGCTTCTATTTGAGCATTTATTAAGTGGGCGTGGCTTCTATTTGAGTATTAAGTGGGTTTACTTTTAATCAGTAGGATGAATTAAGTGGGTGTGGCTTCTATTTAATTTTTGATTAATTCGGTATGGCTTCTATTTGAGTATTGATTAAGTGGGTGTGCCTTTGATCAGTGGGTTGACTTAAGTAGGTGTTGCTTACATTTGAATATAGAATAAGTGGGTGTGACTTCTATTTGATCATTGATTTAGCGGGCGTCCTTTTGATCAAGGGGTTGAATTAAGTGGGTGTGGCTTATATTTGAGTGTTGATTAAGTGGGTGTGGCTTATATTTAAGTATTCATTAAGTGGGTGTGCTTTTGATCAGTGGGTCGATTTAAGTAGGTGTGGCTGCTATTTGAGTATTCATTATGTGGGCGTGTTTTAGGTCAGAAGGCTGAATTAAGTAGGTGCGGCTTAAATTTGAGTATTAAGTGGGTGAGGCTTCTATTTAAATATTGATTAAGTGGTTGTGCTTGTGATCAGAAGGTTGAATTAAGTATCTGCGGTTTATATTTAAAGTATTAATTATAATTAATAAAGTGTATTTTATTTTATTAAGTATTAATAAAGTGGGTGTGGCTTATATTTGAATCTTAAGTGGGTATTATTTTGATCAGTGGGTGGATTTAAGTAGGTGTGGCTTCTATTTGAGTATTGATTAAGTAGGTGTACTTTTGATCAGTGAGTTAATTAAGTGGGTGTGGCTTCTTTTTGAGTATAGGTCAAGTGGGCATGTTTTTCATCAGTGGGTAGAAATAAGGATGTGGATGTGGCTTATATTTTACTATTGATAAAGTGTGTGTGGCTTATATTTAAGCATTGGTTAAGTGGGTGTGGCTTATATTTAAGTATTGTTAAGTGGGTGTGACTTATTTTTGAGTATAGGTCAAGTGGGCATATTTTTCATCAGTGGGTAGAATTAAGTGGATGTGGCTTATATTTTACTATTGATAAAGTGTGCGTGGCTTATATTTAAGCATTGGTTAAGTGGGTGTGCTTTTCATCAGTGGGTTTAATTAAGTGGGTGTGGATTATAATTGAGTATTGATCGAGTGGGTGTGACATATATGAGTATTAAGTGGATATTATTTTGATCAATGGGTGGAATCAAGCAGATGTGGCTTCTACATGAATATTGATTAAGTAGGTTTGCTTTTGATCAGTGGGTTGAATTATGTGGGTGTGGCTTATATTTAAGTATTGGCTAAGTGGGTGTGGCTTCTATTTGAGTATAGGTTAAATGCGCATGCTGTTCATTAGTGGGTTGAATTAAGTGGGTGTGGCTTATATTTAAGTATTGATTAAGTGGGTGTGGCTTCTTTTTGAGTGTAGGTAAAATTTTTGTGCTTTTTATCAGTGGGTTGAATTAAGTGGGTGAAGCTTATATTTGAGTTTTCATAAAGTGGGTGTGGCTTATATTTGAGTATTAAGTGGGTATTATTTTGATCAGTGGGTGGAATCAAGTAGGTGTGGCTTCTATTTAAGTATTGATTAGGTAGGTGTGCTTTTGATCAGTGGGTTGATTTTATGTGGGTGTGGCTTATATTTAAGTATTAATTAAGTGGGTGTGGCTTCTTTTGAGTATAGGTTAAATGAGAATGCTTTTCATTAGTGGATTGAATTAAGTGGGTGTGGCTTCTGTTTAAGTATTGATTAAGTGGGTGTGCTTTTAATCAGAAGGTTGAAATAAGTAGGTGTAGTTTATATTTTAATATTGATTAAGTGGGTGTGGCTTATTTGAGTATTAAGTGGGCATCCTTTGATTAGTGGGTTGAATAAAATAGGTGTGGCTTCTATTTGAGTATTGTAATGATTAAGTGGGCGTGCTTTTGTTTAATAGGTCAAATTAATTAGTTGTAGCTTCTATTTGAAGATTGATTAATGAGGTGGGCCTTCTTTTTAAGTAATGATTAAGTGGACATGCTTTAGATCAGTGGGTTGAATTAAGTAGGTGTGGCTTCTATTTGAGTATTGATTAAGTAGGTGTGGCTTTTATTTGAGTACTGATTAATTGGGCATGCTTTAGATCAGTGGGTTGAATAAGGTAGGTGTGGCCTCAATTTGAGGATTGATTAAGTGGGTGTGGCTTCTATTTGAGTATTGATTCAGTAGGTTGAATTAAGCAGGCGTGGTTTCTATTTGAGTGTAGTTTTTAAGCGGGCATGCTTTTGATCTGTGGGTTAAATTAAATGTTTATAGGCTGAAAAGATAGCAAGTCGTTTCCAGGCAACAGGAAGCCAACACCCTCCATCAGATATAATTTGTTCTCATTTGGCCGTGAGCATCTTTCAATCATTTCTGAAGAGGGAAGGAGGGAGTATGGAGAGAAGAAGAGAAAACTTCATCTTTTTCTCGGAGGCTCAATAACTCTTCATTCCCCCGTGTGTCTCGACCGGCCACTTGAGTTTAGAGGTCATGCTAACTAATGAGGTCCAGATCAATGTCTGCAGGTACTAATGTACGCTCTCATAGCATTGCAGCCTACAGTTTCTTCCCTCAGATCTACTATAAACACAGCAGGGCTGTAGCATTGTCAGGCAAGCCAAGGGCATTAAAAATGCTTATGAGTTTAAATTAGTCATCCAAATGATTAAATATACTTGGAAAATGAGTAAGGAGGCTGTCAAACTCTATAAATGAGTGTGGTTTTCTGCTTGAGCATTGGACCAAGTGGGCGGGGTTTGAAATAAGGGGGTGTGGCCTCTAATTGAGTGTTGGATTAAGTGTGTGAGGTTTTGTTCAGTAGGTTTAAGTAGCAGCCTCTTCAATTTAAATATTAATAAATGGGCGTGGCATCCCTTAGAGTGTTAAATCAAGGGGCAGGGTTTTATCATTGGTTTGAATTGAGTAGCTGTGGCTTCCATTTGAATATTGATTAAGTGGGAGTGTTTTTGGATCAGTTGGTTAAATTAAGTAGCTGTTGATTATTAAGTGGGTGTGGCTTCTGTAAATGTTGGATTAATAGGGTGTGGTTTTGATCAGCAGGTTGAATTATCAGTTAATTGAATTAAGTGGGTGTGGCTACTGTGAGTGTTGGATTAAGAGGGTGTGGTTTTGATCAGCAGGTTGAATTATCACTTGATTGAATTAAGTGGGTGTGGCTACTGTGAGTGTTGGATTAAGAGGGTGTGGTTTTGATCAGCAGGTTGAATTATCAGTTAATTGAATTAAGTGGGTGTGGCTACTGTGAGTGTTGGATTAAGAAGGTGTGGTTTTGATCAGCAGGTTGAATTATCAGTTAATTGAATTAAGTGGGTGTGGCTACTGTAAGTGTTGGATTAAGAAGGTGTGGTTTTGATCAGCAGGTTGAATTATCAGTTAATTGAATTAAGTGGGTGTGGCTACTGTGAGTGTTGGATTAGGGGGTGTGGTTTTGATCAGCAGGTTGAATTATCAGTTAATTGAATTAAGTGGGTGTGGCTACTGTGAGTGTTGGATTAGGGGGTGTGGTTTTGATCAGCAGGTTGAATTATCAGTTAATTGAATTAAGTGGGTGTGGCTACTGTGAGTGTTGGATTAAGAGAGTGTGGTTTTGATCAGCAGGTTGAATTATCAGTTAATTGAATTAAGTAGGTGTGGCTACTGTGAGTGTTGAATTAAGAGAGTGTGGTTTTGATCAGCAGGTTGAATTATCAGTTAATTGAATTAAGTGGGTGTGGCTTCTGTGAGTGTTGGATTAGGGGGTGTGGTTTTGATCAGCAGGTTAAATTATCAGTTAATTAAGTGGGTGTGGCTTCTGTTTGAGTGTTGAATTAAATGGGCGTGGTTTTGGCTAAATTAAGTTAAGCGGGTGGGGCTTATGTTGGAATAAATGGATTTTTATCTGGCTAGAGATAAAGTAGGTGTGGTTTCTGTTTGATTATTGATCAAGTAGGTGGGGTTTTGATCTTCTAACATTTATATTTTATTTTAGTTGCTTAAAACATTTTAGCATCTGTGTCTGCAAGTGTGTGAAATTAAATTGACTGCACAGATTTCTGTATTATTTATCTTTAGTGTATATCTTGAACAAATGGCTTTGATGTGGTGTGTGTCATGCTTAACCTCCAGTTGAATCATTTTGCGTAGTCCCTGACAGTAACTCATTTTCAGAATTCGCTTTTGTTTGCTACATAATTTAGTCTGCATAAAATATTTACATTCAGCACTGAATTAGATACCAAGAAGAGAAAGAGAGGAAAGTGTGTTTCCGTGGACCATTTGTTTGTGTTAAATGTTCAACAAAACAAATAGCACTGTGGTGTTTGGGAGTGAGTGTGTGAACAGTATGCATGTGAGATGCTGTATTGCTCAGTGTGTATGTGTGTAAGTGAGGGAGTGTGTCTAAGCCCTGCAGGCCTGATGCTATTTTTAGTCCATGTCTCTCTTCTTTCTTCTTCTATCTCTTTTTCTCATTTGTATCTTCCTTTAATGAATCCCCTCTAACAGTGTCTGACATTACTGGGCAATTTCCTGCGGCTCGACACACTAGCAGATCTGTGTTGTGCTATTTATCATTTTCAGGGTGTACTTTGCTA